GCAAATTCTTCTCGTTTAAGGTATAACAGTAACAATAATTTCTGATTGAAATGATTTGAGATTCATTCGTTCGTAATAGAATGTGATCACCATGATCATTTAGGAAAAGCTTCTTACAGGTTCTCTTGCCCTGAATGGCAAGCCGGACCTTGGAGTGCATGTTCTGAGAAATGTGGTGATGCATATCAGTATCGTTCGGTGACGTGTCGAAGTGAGAAGGAAGGAGAGGAAGGCAAATTGCTACCTGCTGAAGCTTGTGGTGATCTTGTGGTTGAGAATCGACGTAGTTGTAATTTGGGACCTTGTGAGGGATTAACATTCACCACTTCTGAGTGGAATTTGGTACGTGATAAATGCCTTCGCTTATGTGACGCTTGAAAATTCTTCTCGTTTAATGTGGAATTATTGACGGAATTCCTGAGCATCTTGTGATGTAAAAGTAACTTTTTGTCACGCACACTTATATTATAAGATGTTTGAATGAAATAACGTGCTCATTCAAGAATTGATCGTGATCTGTAAAAAGCAATAAGAACATTGAGTTCTTTACGATTATTCGTTTCGTAGTTATGATTTCACTTGAGGATTAAAGTTTCAAAGTTCCAATTTAGTGCCAAAAATGCAACGATACGGAAGAGACACGCAATGTGACATGCAAAGACCCAACTGGTCGAGTGTATCCACTGGAGAAATGTCTCAACGACAATACCACCGAAATACCGATTGATACTCGATCATGCGCAACACCACCTGTAATTCTTGTTATTTTTCAATAATTTATTTGAAATTTCACTTTGAACATTCAATGCTACTGAATAGAATGTAATGAAATTTCTGGTCACTTCATTGATAACAAACGCTATCATTCTGTTTTAGCCATGCGTTTACGAATGGCATTCATCTGAATGGTCAAAATGTAGTACGGAATGCGGGCATGGTCATCAAGATCGACGAGTTGTTTGCGCAATACACGAACTCGGCGATCTAACGGTTTGTTATTTCCACTTCCTCATCTGTACAGTTTCTTTTTGAACCGTCGCATATGATTGAAAGGCGATTACTTTGAGTTGTGTACAGGTTTGATTGAATGTTTCCGTATAATAATGGTAATAATGAGTTCATCTAATTTGCAGGTTGTGGATGAATCGCATTGTGTTGAAGATAGAAAGCCACCAAAAACCAAGAATTGTACGAATGAAGAAAAATGCAACGGAACTTATTATATGGGTCCATGGACACAGTGTACATCTGAGTGAGTTTCGCAATTAAATTAGCCATAATACAAAAAACATTGAAATGAGATCAGTTTATGCGATTAGAGTAAATGTCAAACGATCAAATGAAATT